GTACTCAGTAAGTCATCAACACATATCAGCTTGAATGAGACAGTAAAACAAGGGCGCTGGAGGGAGTGGGAATGTGTCAGAATAAAGTCAGCATATCTAAGACCTAGGTGACCATTTACTCTCTCTGGGCCTCAATGACTTGATCTGTAAAGTGATCTTGTGTCCCTTCTTCTGAATATATGGCCGATCATGAGAGAAAAAATGAAGGGTCAAAAGCATTAAAGAGTCCTGGCCGGTTTGGCTCAGCGGTTAGAGCGTCGGCCTGCGGTCCGGAGAGACCCGGGTTTGGTTCCCGCTAAGGGCACATACTTCGGTTGCAGTTTGTCCCCGGCCCTGGTTGGTCGTGCGGGTGGCAGCCACTCGATGTGTCCCTTCACGTCGATGTTTCTCTCTCTCTCTCCCTTCCTCTCTCTCCCTCCCACTCTATCTGTACAAAAAATGGTAAAATATCCTCGGGTGAGGATAAAAACAAAACCAAAAAAGCATTAAAGAAAATATTTTCCTTTGCCTATTTTGGCATTATCTTACCATTTAATGATGACATATTAAGCAGAAAAATACTTTTTCAGTAGGTTCAAAGATTAGGAAAAGCTCAGAAACTACGTAATCAATTGCTGTTTAAAAACAGAGAAAAAATCACTGGAAAAAATGTAAGTGATCAATATCAGACCAAATCTTTAACTTCATAAAATATAAAATCACAAAATACAAAGATAAGATAGAAGCAGCATCTTACATTTACCTTAAAAAGTACACATCTAAGCCTTACCAACATCACTGGATGAAACAATCTCCTTCTATAACATATTTAGTGAAATGTAATATTCTTCCTTTCTGGGAAGTCTTACCTTTCCTAAACTAGTGTTTCCAATGAAACTTAAAAATAAATTGGCCGTATACCTACAACTTTTTACAAACTATACATTTGTTTCCAGAGTTTTGTAAATTTTGTTCAAATTACTTTTCTAGTTAAAATTGCAGCATTTTAACTTTCCTAAATTATCCGAATGTATGGCTAGATATTCCTACAAGTTTAGCCAAACTAAACTATATACATGGCCCTTAGTGAGAAGGACCCTATTTACCTAGCTCAGCCCTGTGTCTTCTGCACTTCCCATTCTTGTAATATTGAACTCTGTTTAATTCCATGATTAAGTCCTGTAACTTTGCAAACAAGTTTCCTTCTGCTGGAATACTTTCCCCCTTCTACTCAATGACACACCCATCCATCAAGTCTCACTCAAACAGTGTCCTCTGCAAAACCTTCCCTGATTACTCTCACCATAGCCCCCATCCTGACATGTCACATTAGACCCTTTTGATATTACTCCCTTGATAGTTTGTGCATATTACTATTAAATTGCTTATCTCTTTAAATTATTTTTTTGTTGAAGGCAGGGACCGTGATTTTCATGGTGCTATCACCCTTGCCCAAAGTAGGCAACTGTTTACATTTGTTAAATACTAGAAATATTGTTCTCAATGGATTAAAAAAACAAACAAAAAAACTTACTAAACAATAAAATAAATGTGGTTTTACATACTTTAATTTATAGACTTGTTAATCTTACTCACTAAAAATGAAAACAAAAATCATTGTGGTAGAGAAACCAAAACTAAAGAGGAATCAGTACAATATTTAAAGTTAGAAAAACAAATAATATTCTATGGCACTCCTCCAAAAACACCTTTTCTGGTATTGATAATGACATAGAATACCATGAAATTAAGAAATGCTTAAAACTCCCCACAGATTATGGTTTTAAACTCAAATACATAGCAACTAAGAGTTTATTCTCCCTTTACTTTCCATGGACACCAAACAAAGAACATGGCACAAAACCAACTTTTAACAATAATCCTAAATAAGAATAAATCTCGCAAGATTCATCGTCAATAAAACCGCAATTGTCATTACCATTAAATCTAATATGTCAACCTTCAATCCTCTTCATGTCAATTAATCAAGTCAAATGCTTTTTCTAGAGTGACATCTAACAATTTAATTACAGGCCATGGTAAGTAAACACATACCCCCCCCCCCCAAAGTTATCCTTGTACTTCAAATATTCATATAAAGTACAAGAAAGAAAGAAAATTTCACATTGGCCTATAGAAAGATAATAAAGAAAATGCAGCTGAATATAACTAAACTAAAATGCAAACTATCCAATACGTCTCAGCTATAAATAGAAACAGTTCAATTAGAAACCCAGAGTATGTGTAGCACTCTCCTGTTGGTTAAATGGGCTACAACCAGAGCCCTTTCCAAAAGCAGGCCATTTCTTTATGCAATTACGTGTTTTCATTTTATAGCTGTCATACTTGTTTATCTATAATGAAACATTGCTCTTCTTGTAGTAATCAAAACAATAAAACACAGCTGAAAAAAGAAAATGTGTTCCTCAATAGTTAAGATACTATTTTGGGGAGAAACAATTAGAAATCTTCTCCAGTACTGAATTCCAGTGACCTCTAATCAGCGAACAGGTTACAATGTACAACTTCATATAAAATGGAAGGCATATTTAAAATTTTGCTTTGAATTTTGGAATAAAGAGTTTATAATTCATAGACATGCATATCTTTTAGCAATATTTTAGGGTGTGAAAAATGAGTCTTGTTGCCTTTCATTACTTTGAAAATGAAACTTTTGATCATGTTTTAGATTCATTGATTTTTTAAATACCTCAGGAAATTTTTTCAATGATGAATAACATTTTTCACTGTAATTAATACTATATATTTGATATTTCTTGGGAGAAAAAACATATAACATGTCCTGAGTGTATCTTTTAACTATAAATCAATTAAAATTCCATTGTAATTGTTACTGCTACCACAGAAATATTGCCACAGGACGACAGGTAGAAACTGGGTTTTTATAGCACAATTCATTTCCATAAAAAAATTAAACCCAAAGGATGACTTAGAGTGTCATGCATTAGTAATGTAAAAAAAAAAGAAAAAAAAAAAAAGATTTCATCCAAAAGAGCATTAACATATGTTTGAAGAGAAACAAAAGACCACTGGCTAGAGATAACAAAGTTCATTCAGTAATCACGATTAGGGAAAATAATAATAGCAGACAGTTTAGAGAAATCAATGGAAGTCATTATAGAAAAATATACTATTGTTGCTATAACTAGTAAGAAAAATCATGTCAAGAAAGAAAAGTATGTATGAAAATAAAAACAAAATATATTCTATGCCGCAGATGACAAAATTGGGGCTTGTGTGTTAACGCTTGCCAGCACCCTGACAGATGTGACTAATCAATCACTGGAATCTTTGTTGCTAATCCTGGAATCCTTCTCAATACACAACACAGACAGCCACAACCAATCACTGAAAGTAGGCACTGAAACCTATTTGTCAAGTCTGCTCTCAGTGACATTGTTCAAGATATTCCATTAGGAAGCTTCCCTGCAGGCAGATAGTATATGACTATGCACAACCTTCTAAGAAATGTGGTCAAGCACGGGTTGACTTTCAAAAATTTGTGAATGCATAAAAATTCTTAAATAGCAAAATGGAAAAATAATACTACAACAGATGTTATGGTTTGGTGAGTGGAATACATTTTTTAAAAATAACTGCCATAAAAAACTTAGAATGGTTTTAATTCTGATGATATAGATACAAAAACTACAGTCTTTACTTGCAAGAAAAGCAATCACTACAAAAGCAGACAGTGCAAAAGAAATTACAGAATGTTACTGGTAACGGACAAATTAGTAAAACAGTTTCAATAATGTGCATTATGATTTCAAACCATAGTCTAAATACAATGACAGTTTTAGGTGTCCTAATTTCCAGAAAAATAGTTTCCCTATTGAAATGTTTTTAAATATATGCAATCATTGAACCATATTTGAAACATAAGCCTTAATTTTAGTTTTAGAATAGAACTGAACACTAAGCAAAATATGTGTAGGGGAGAATTCAGTTTAAAACAATCTACTGAATTAAAATAAATGTGTGTATCAGGGGAAGGTAACTTTATTCTGCTGTAATTACACATACAATAGAACCCCACCATAATGTTAAGTCAAAGGCTGCATAAAAAAACACATCTATACCCCACCACTAAACAAACGTAAAGTTCACACCAGTTCAGTCTGACAATGAACCCTGCCTGCTCCATGTTAAACAGTATTATGTGCTGTTTCCAACAAACAAAACTTCATCAATTGCACAGTTCATTTTGCTTATATAGGCGTAGCCATATTTAAGATCTGACATGAATTCTGCCAAAGATCTTATGTTGTACTAACATTTAGCAATAAAGAACATGTTCAGCTACAAGCAATTATAACTTAATCCAGAAAGCATTGAGAGCAAGAGCAAGTCACTGGTAATGCAATTAGAAAGTTTTCCAAAGTTTCCTTTGAAATAACTAGTATGCTAAAATCTTTTACCCTTGGTCAAATTCACTGTCATCAATTGCTGATTTACTATTATGCTTTTCCATGACTTTGTAAGTAATTTCTTTGAAAAATGTGACTAGGTAACACATGAAACAATCTTATCTGCTGCTAAGACTGTAGCTGCTGATATAAGTAACTTGTGGTAATATCTTACCACTGTGTTATCCACAATTATAACAAAACAAATTTTAATTAGAAGGTAAGTCATTGCCTAATCAGTGTACTTACTGATTAAGTCATTGCCTGAGGCGTACTTACCTCAGGTAAGATAGTAAAAAAAAGTTTCTGTAAACTATACCAAGGCTGGCAAAAGTAGGTTTACAGTTGTGAGTACATGAGTTTATTCTTGTACTATTATTTATTAATTACTGTATTATTTTCCATATAAACTGTAAGCCTACTTTGCCCACCCCTGCATAAACAACTATCACATAATGTTTTTAAACACAATATGAAAAGAAAAAAGAATATATATTTTCATGAAATAAATTTATTGCTGTATTGTAACAAACATCATTTTTTAGCATTCTATTAATAAAACTGGAAATGTTTTTAAAATGTTCTCCTTACCTGTGTATACAGTTCTTACTTTCGAGATATGACATACCGGAAGCAGCATCTAATGCAAATTTCACTAATTGTTTAGGTTTTATTTCATCTTTCTTTCTTCTCAGATAGGAGAGAAAATCACCTCCTAAAAGAAGTGACAGATGAACAATGAGACAAGGTCACAAAGAAAGTCACATTTATCACCTATTACAGGTACCTCACCGAGCAAAAAGCACTACTCAGCTGGCCCTGCTTTCTGTCCATTTTGTTTGCGGTGAGGATAAAAGAAAATATGAAAAGAACACATCTCATTAGAAAACAGTCACAACTTTCCCGGGTACCTGAAGTGCTTCACACTGCATATTACCTAACACGTGATCGTGTTGAAACAAAGTCATTCAATTTCGCACCTATGTGCCCGACTAAAATTTTATAAGAAATTTTATTGTCTCTAATACCAAATAAAAGACTAATTATTATGAGTTAAACAAAAAAGTAAATGACACTGAATTAGTTATCAGATTCAGTGACTGTTTAAAAAAATTGAGATTATTAACAGTACATCCATCACTGAAAGCAGAGTCAGATGTGGGGGGGGGGCAGTTATGAATTTGCTAATAAGATTTAGCTGCAGTTGCTGAAGACAGGTTGCATTTTTGTGCATCAAATGGATTCCAGTGATGTAGAGAAACACCTTAAACCAGCATGGTCCAGAAGAATATAATGCAAGCTACACAGTAATTTTAAATTTACTAATAGTCACATTTTAAAAAGTAACAACAAAAAGCTGAAATTTAGAAAAATATTTTTCTTTAGCCAATAGATCCAAAATATTATTTATCAACATATATCATTATACAAATTTTCGTGGAGATATTTTACATCCTAAGTCTTTAAACTATGTTTAACATTTATGGGACATTTCAATTTAGATGCAAATTTTTGTTCAAAATAATTGATCTGTATTTAGATTTCATAAAATTCACAGTTAAAAAGTAGGTTCATATACATGGGTTGTTCCAAATATGCTTACATTTTTCTAATAGTTGAATCGTATCAATTTTTAAAACAATTAAAATTCTAAATTCAGTTTTTTAAGAAGCACTATCCACATTTCAAAAGCTCAACAGCTCAGGAGCTACATAAGGCCAGAGATTACCCTGTTAACCTTCAAGTGTGCATTCACTATTACTGCTGCATTAAAGGCTGTGGTTTGATTATTTTTCTCTTGTTAGTGTATAATGTATTCATTAAAATAAAGAAGTTTATGCCGAGTGAAATAAATCAGACAGAAAAGTCAAGAACCATATGATTTCACTCATATATAGAATATAAAACTGAAAGCCAGAAATGAACAAAAACGTATAGACAGACAACAGTGTGGTGGTTGCCAGAGGAAAGGGGGGTGGGAGGAGGTGATAAAGGGGATCAAATACATGGTGACAGAAGATATGACCTTGGGTGAACACACAAAACAATATACAGATGATATATTATATAACTGCACACATGAAACAATTTTATTAACCAGTGTCACCTTAATAAATTTAATTTTAAAAGTTAAAGTATATTAGAATGAATGTTCTCTAAAAATAATCATTCCCCCTTTCTCTTGTCTATTAGGCCTTCAGATTTTAAGCCAAGTTTTTACAAGAGAAATTAGCATTTTAATTGCTATTTCCTAAACTTTTTTATCCTCTCCACCCAGGGTCTGGGCTTCCTAAAATGGAACAACTCTAGAAGTAAAGACTTAATGGCCTTTTTTTTTAATGAGAGTACCTAGAAAATAAGAACCTGCTTAATTCTCCTTATAACATTCTTTATTTGAACCTCTTCTCTTATTCACAAATCAAGGCTCACACAAATTTAGGTAGACCATTCACAAAAGCAATAAGACTTAAGCTTATGAATAATGTTAACAGTGTCAGACGGCTTACCTTTTCTGTTTTTTAATTTTATTTTAAAGAGAATGTCAAATGTATTAAATAACTAGGAAGATTATTGAAAAAGTTTCTATCACGCTTAACTTAATTTTCTGAACAAAACACAAATGCCACAGTAAGTAGCAAAACTAACCACTAACTTCTCACCTTTAATAGGTACCAAAAGTGTCTATTAAAATGGACTTAAAACCAATATTTAGTTCAAGTTATTACTTGGACCAATATTCCCATATACAGTAAACATTAATTCTTTTCTTAGATGTATGTTGGCCTATTTTAGAAAAAGTGCACCCTTTTGGTCTTAAAACCTGATCGCATTTTGTTTACCCTATGGAATAACTTTGGAGTGAAAACAACCATTCTGCAATTTGATTTAAAGTAACATATGAGAACCCCATGTTCTGTCAAATCCTAATATTATTTCTCTCCCACTTAGCTCATATTCAGCACTTTTCGGTCTGCCTCCTTTTTAAATGTCCTCCTTCCTACAATCCTCCTTGTACTCCCCAACACCTGCCCCACATTGTAACCCGTGAAGAGAATTGTTCAATATTGTAATGTCAGCACCTACCACATGTAATAATACCTCAATAAACATTTCCTTTTTTAGTATTTTTTAGATAGAGAGGAATGGAGATGGGGAGGGAGATAGAAACATCAATGAGAGCAAAACATCGATCAGTTGCCTCCCGTATGCCTCAAACTGGGGATTGGGCCCACAACCTTGGCATGCACCCTGACCGGGAATGGAACCAGCAACCTCTCAGTTCATAGGATGACACTCAATCCACAATTAAAAAATGGGCAGAGGATCTAAATAGACATCTCTCCAAACAGAACATACAAATGGCCAAGAGACACATGAAGAAATGCTCAACATCACTAATCATCAGAATGGCCACCATCAACAAAACATCAAACAACAAATGTTGGCGAGGGTGTGGAGAAAAGGGGACTCTAGTGCACTGCGGGTGGGAATGCAGACTGGTGCAGCCACTATGGAAAACAATATGGTGTTACCTCAAAAAATTAAAAATTGAATTGCCATTTGACCCAGTGATCCCACTTCTAGGAATATACCCTAAGAAGCCTGAAACACCTATCAGAAAGAATACATGTACGCCCATGTTCGTAGCAGCACCATTTACAATAGCTAAGATCTGGAAAGAGCCCAAATGCCCATCGTAGACAAATGGATAAAATAGTTGTAGTACATATACACAATGGAGTACTATGCAGCGGTAAGAAAGAAAGATCTCTTATCCTTTGAGACGACATGGAGGGACCTGGAAAGTATTATCCTAAGTGAAACAAGCCAAGCAGAGAAAGACAAGTATCATATGATCTCACTCAGTTGTGGAATATAATGAACATAACAGTCTGAAGAACAGGGTAGTCCCAGAGTCGTGAAAGTAGGGTACAAACTGACAATCCCCATAAGAGGGGAATGGGGAGAGATAAACCACAGAACTTATATGCATGTACGCATAACCGATGGACATGGACAACAAAGCTGAGGACGGGGTGGGGAGGAAGGGGGAGAAGGGTGTCAATGGGAGAAAAAGGAGAAACATCTGTTAACAAAAATAAATTAATTAATTAAAAAAAAAAAAAGGTGAGTGGCGCCCTGGCTGGTTTTCTCAGTGGTTAGAGCATTGGCCCGCAGACCAATAAGTCTCAGGTTTGATTCCAGTCAAGGGCACATACCTCGGTTGTGGTTTGTCCTCGGCCCTGGTCGGGTGTATGTGAGGCAACCAGTCAATGTGTCACTCTCACATCGATGTTTTTCTCTCTGCCTCTCTCTCTCCCCTTCCCTCCCACTCTATTTGATGATAAATGGAAAGATATTCTTGGGTGAAGATAAAAAAAAAAAAAAAGGACTAGTAATGAAGGAATCCTTGGTAGATAAGACTAAAACACCAAATGCATAATCTATGAATAAACAAAGAAGAGACAACATGAATGCATTTCTTTCAAAATAAATAAATAAATAGCATTAAAAATTGGCTGAAAAGTGATGTCAAGACAGTAAAGGTAAACTATAGCCCTGGCCTGTATGGCTCAATTGGTTGAGTCTTGTCCTATGCACCAAAAAGTCACCAGTTCGATTCTTGGTTAGGGCATGTACCCAGGTTGTGGGTTCGATCCCCAGTTGGGGTGTGTGAAGGAGGCAACTGATCGATGTTTCTCCCTCTCTCCCTTCCTCTTTCTCTAAAATAGAAATATATTAAAAAATAATAAAAAAAAATTTTTAATCAAGGTAAAGTATTAGGAAAAAGGAGTTAGATATTTCTAAATCTGTGACACAGCCAAAGATACAGATGAAAGGGTCTGATTGTCTCTTAATCCAACAATAATTTCCCTTAGAGAAATTTCTTGCTTAAAAATCATTAAATTATTAAATAAAATTTAGATTTATTTCCAATTTTTAGATTCAAGCCACAGACCCAATGATCTTAAGTAAAGCAGAGCTGCTCCATTCCACAGTCCTCGTCAGTTTATTGCAGAACACTGTGGAGAAGCAAGGCTTCCAGTGAAAATTAAATATGATTCATGCCCAGCCAGTGTGGCTCAGTGGATTGAGCGTCGTCTCATGGACCGAGAGGTCCCGGTTCTATTCCCACTCAGGGCACATGCCCGGGTTGCGGGCTTGATCCCCAGTGGTAGGCATGCAGGAGGCAGCCAATTGATGTTTCTCTCTCATTGATATTTTTATCTCTTTCTCCCTTCCTCCCTCTCTAAAAAATCAATTAAAAAACATATTTAAATAATATTATTCAGTACTGAAAGCCTGAGCCTTGGGCAAGTGCAAACATTAAGAGCCCCAAAGCAAAAAGTAAACTCCCCATGGGGCTACAGTTTAGAACTAAAGATAGAATATCCAGAAAATAATCCAGGCACAATACTTTATTAAGTGAAGAAGAACTGGAGACATCAAATCACATAGTGTCAAGTATTCACTGTGAGGTTACAATAGAGGCTAGCTTCTGCCCCTTTAAACTCATTCTTTTGTCATTTCATTAAGTATCAAGTTAAAGAACCATTCTTAGCATTTGTGAAATACATAATAATCACATATGCAGTCCATATGTATAAATGTGTATGCACGAATGGACATGTGTATGTGTGTGTATGCATATAGCACAGAGTAACCTACCTGACCACTGTAAATAAGAACCTTGGTGTACAAAAAGGACAAAAC